GGGAGCGTGGCTAATGCCACGCACCTTCATCAGGAAATTGTTTTGTCCCCTCCCCTCCCCCCCCCCCCCTCCGCCCGAGCGAAATTCATGTACGCCACTGTAGATGGATGAAGGCTAAGGTAACAAACTGAGAAAAGTTGTGAAAAAATTATTGATTGAAAAGTGCGGTAAGCTTGTTCTGAAGATTCTTGCTCGCAAAAAATGAAATGACTCATTGCAATGCACAACTGACGATATGGCACGGAACTTGGTATGTACACATGCAGCAGCACTCATGCAATCTATGAAGATTAAGAAAAACTTATGTGTGATACAGAACGTGCTCAACTTTTTTGCAAATTAGGGGGGGGGGGCAATTGCCTACCTAATGCCCACCTAATTTTCGGGCAAAACTTCCACTCCACTTCACACAAGTATTTCAAATTTCCCACATAAAAGTGTTCTACATCTAAAGGTTACTATAAATACGAGTTGGCATCCCGGGTTCCCCCGGTTCAAAACCAGTCCATCATGCTTGACGCTTCCTACCTTCCGTAATATGATCTCGATGACCAGCAGATCAAAATGAGCTTCACCGTTCATCCCTAAAGACTATACGAAATGTGCACAGAATTTCTTGCTTTATACTATACCAGTGCGTCACCTCTGCTTCGCAGAGGCTCGCACTGGCCCTACTATCTATATGCCCTACTCATTCTTGTAGAATGGCACTGGAACTCACCGCGCTATGCCGACTACCACGAATAAAATGTGAACAACTACTCATTTAAAAAGCTTTTTCACGTGAGATCGGTGATTTCGCGTGGATGAAACTTTTCACAGGAAGACAAACGCAAATTTGAATAGAGAATTTATCATGGCTTGGTAGTCGCCATAAAGGCAATAGTAATCGTGAGCTACATCTCTGTGCGAAAATTTTCCGAAATGCTTGGCTAGAACCTTGGCAAATTGACCACTTACGCAACCAATTCTTTTTGGCGCCGTTTTCGTTATGTAGTAGACTTGTAACCACTTTTTGGGCTAAAGTCCATCGTTTGCACATTTGCTAACCAAACACACCCACGACTTTGCAGAAAGTGGTGATACGGACCCAATTTTGCGGGACAGAAGCCAGGTGGATCCGTTTGGTGCGCAGTTTCTAAGGGATCCACTCAACGAATTTACTCGTGCTTTTGCATGTTAGACTTTGGGCAAAATTTGGGCTTAGAACACTGGCTGGAACACGCTCTACGAATTTCTTAACAGTCGGACACACACACACACAAAACACGTAAACAACCCTTAGCCCGTTATTATAAGGTCTTGATATATACAGGGTGTCCCGAAAAAATGTACACACTGTTTCATTGTTAATAACTTTCTTGCTTTCATGTCTTTTGCCGAGCTTGAGGTACCATTCTGTAGAGCGAGGATAAACTTAGATTCACAGTATGGAGGGACTTATCAGCCTCTTTTCATTACGGTAGGATTACGGTAGGAATTTCGAGGAGGATTTCGAGCAATGGAAAGCTGTATTTTGCCTCAGAAGAAAACCAAATAAGCCAGAAACTCTTGAACTAGGTTAATCGCAGTGGCTGATCCTAAATATGAAAATTGCACGTCAGTAAACTGTTTCTTTCATGAGTTAATTCAGATTTAGGGTAACAACTGATTTTCCAATGTTCAGCAGAAATGTGAATACGCCATCAAGAAAGCTCGAAAAACTGATGGAAAGTTATGTGGTGTGGTTAGCACGCCTATTTTTAAAATTATTTCATTAAAAGGCTTATTCCACAGTGATGCTGTATGCTGAAAGTTCATACCGTAATCCTACAGTAGCAAAAAGAGATTGAAGTTTCGCTTAATATTGTAAATCTAAGTTTATCCTCGCTCTACAGAATGGTACCTCAAGCTCGGCAAAAGACATGAAAGCAAGAGAGTTATTAACGATCAAACAGTGTGCACATCTTTTTGGAACACTCTGTATATAGAGATTTTGGTTACAAAGCTCCTCCTTTCTTCTTCGCTAGAACCCGAAATCGCTAATTTGTTGCTCACATTAGGAATCCCACTTCAGATAACTTCCAAACTATGAAGGTTTGAGAAACCCAAGATTTCGTTTGTCCCGTTTTACACTTTCAATATCTCAAGCTGGAGAAGACCAAACGGGCTCAAATCGCTTTTGTGAAAATTACGAATTTGTCTATTGAATATATGTATTCTTGCCGTCTTTCCTCACGAATCACGTAGTAGCGCTTAGCATGTTACCGTGTCCCAATTTTCCCGCAGTCCTTTTCAATTGCATAGGTAAGGGAAAAGTCTATATCTTACCTGGAAGGTGCGATTTTGAATGAAGTTCCTACTGTGTAGAGAAGAAGGCTTAGCAATGCCAACAAAATAAAAAAAAGACATTTTTGAGTGCTTTGAAGGTAAGTTAATGGTGTTTGCAAAACCCTCAAAAAGGTGTGGCAGCCACAACTTTTCGGTGGTTGTGCCACACTCCAATAACTTACCTCCAAAGAGAAGTTTAGGGAAAAAATATTTACAGTTTTCTACACACAAAATTCGTAATTTTTGTAGAAGTGTTTAGAGCTGAATCTGCCTTTTTTAAAATGAGCAATAGTTGGTGGAAGCACAACTACTGTAAGTGAGGGACAAATGAAATTTTGGCTGGCTCCTAATTCCATAGTTTGATGGTTATTTGAAGCAGGATTCATGGTAAAGGAAATAGGGAGTGATACTTTGTACTGAATACGAAAAGAGGTAGCTAATTCATTTTTGTGATACAGTTAACCATGTTTAAAAATGGCTACTTCACTTGGGTGGCCCAATACTAGGAACCTTCAGAATTCGTTAGAACTGGGCCCGTAGGGGTCATTTGACATGATAATAACCAATATGTTCTAATTTGCTTTGTAGAGCCTTTTTGTCAAGCTTACGTGTTCTAATAACACATCGCCACCATACTCCACTACAAGCGCCACCCATCCGCCTAAGACTACAATAAAACCTACCCACCACAAGATTGACTATTCGAGAAAGCGAATCATCGAATTATGGAAAATTCAATATGCAAAGCATGTGCAGGGTGTCTCAAAAGTATTTACACACTCTTTGATCCCTGGTATCTCTTTTACAAAGGCTTTCGCCAACCTCTTGGGTTTCTGTATTCCAACTTCAGCTTTCATCTACACCAAAAAGCAGTGTTCCATTATTGTGGATTACGGTAGGAACTTGAAGGACATAGAGCCACGTCGATATATGCCGTCTGAAAGAGCTCCAAAAACAACTAAAAATTTGTGTAGCACAGCCTTTACATATGTTGATTTTACTACAGTGGCCGTATTCATCAACGAACCCAGTGGGTTTCGCTACCCACTGGGTAGGCTTAACCAATGAGATCGGTCTTCACGAAGCTAATGAGTTGGCATACCCATTAGCTTATTGTAAATATCGATGCGACCCCAGGATGACCAGTTTTTCAAGGCTTTCAATGTGTGATCACTTTTTTGAGAAACATTGGAACCATTTGTTACGCTGTACTGGTATAACTTATTAAAAAGCATAGTTGAATGCAAACTTTGCAATCAACGCCAATAACATCAAAAAGCTAATGTGAGAGTTTTGCCTTTTGGTTTGGCCGCACGTCAAAAACACCTACTGGCGTAAATGTTGCTTACAAGGAAACGATACTTGGTGTCCGTGGCCTTTTGAGATGAGATGTATACCATTACACTCGTTTTGGAGCGCTGATTCCGAATCTGACTTCCGTTTTTGCTAATCATTTCTCTGGAAAAAGTTGTGAAGGATTTTCGCGCCAAAGAAGATGTGGTCAGAATGCCAAAACGGCGGCTAAGATGTGGTCAAGTGGCTAGTGCGATAGCCTCGCAAGTTAATGCAGCTTTAGGTTCGAGTCCTTTTGTGTTTTTCAGTTTTGCATTGCCTCAATCAAGCTCCTTTTTGAAAGTTAGGCATCTTCGACCGTATTTCTCTTAGGCGACCATTGACGCGAAAATCCTTTATAACTCCTTTTAGAGAACCGATTAGCAGAAACGGAAGACAGATTTGGAATCAGCGTTTCAAGACGAGTGTGATGGTATACGTTTCATCTCAAAAGGCCACGGACACCAAGTATCGTTCCCTTGTTAGCACAAACGCATGAAAATCCATTGTTTTTTCCTTTCCTCTTCGGGCAGTTTTTGTATTTATATGCAACATTAGTGATCACGTCAACAACAGAAAGTCAGATCGATGAGCTAAGGTCAATTTTTCTGAATGCCGGAAACGGCCAATACGTTCTAAATAAGAGTGATCATTGGATATTACTGTATTGTAAACAATACATAGTACTGAGACAAGATAGAACTACAGAGATGTGCAAAGTAATCAAAAAGTCTTATTTTTGACTCAAAAAAACGATACATGTCACGTTGCATAAATGAAAGGTTGGAGATTACATTAATTATCACAAATTAAATCATACTATATTGTAATTAACCTAGGACCTATAATTACTATATTGTCCTCAACCTAGGACAGTGCGTAGGCTCAAGGGTACAATCTGGAATTTGGCCATGTCGGGCACAGAAGTCCCGATATCAACAGATTAGCTCTGCTGCCCGTTTGGGCCATGCTAACTAACAACTATGAGTTGGACGCTCTCGCCTTTCAGGCCCTGTATAACGGTGGAATGTGGCCGAACAGTGAGCAGGAGACTGATAAAGACCGCCCTTGGAAGAGGACTGATGTGGGGAAAGGCACCAGGTGACATGAGTTTTCAAAACTTCCTTAAGTGATACTTCTGTAACAGTGTCGGTGATAATACTTTCCACGTGCGGGGTTTTAAAAAAATTGTGAGCCTCTGAAAACATAACTACACACCTACAACCCACCAGCGAGTAGTGATTTTGACAGCGCTGAAAATGCTCTGTTTGAGATAGCAGAGTTGGAAAAAAAACATTTGGTCGCGGTCAGCTAATGTGTTAGACTTCTTAGGACAAGTACTGCTGTTCAAGCAAGAAGCTCTATGAAGTTTTATACAGATAAGAGATGAAACAAAATGCAAGAGATCCATGGATCATGACGACGAGGACGGTGCTTGATCTGGGGCAGAGTTGAGCGTGTCTTCATTGGGCGTGGCAGCGGTGGTGGCAGTGGCGGTGGCGGCGGCAGTCGGCGAATTCGCCGCTTGCCGAGAGCTCAAAGCTCGACAGAGCTGCTCGAGTTGACTGAGTTTTTTCTGCTGCAACACGGCGTTCTCCTCCAATTCCTTCTTTGCCATCGTTAACACAAGCACATTTCTGCGCAAAAAGCGAAATTAGTACACTGTTCGATGAGAAAAAAGACCTGATTGGATGCTAGCCACTCACTTAGACGCTTCCTCGTACTTCTGCTTCCACTTGAACGAGTCGGTCTCGACTTTTTTGAAGTTGGTATTTACCTTAAAATTCTTTGTAGATTAGGTTCAACACCTCAAAAGACGCAAACACGAGAACCAAGCTTTTCTTTTGTTACCCAAAACGCTGATCTTGAAGAAAACTGAAAGCATCCCGAAAGGTAAAGGTTCGAAATTTTCCACATCTTGAAACTTGCAGTAGATTAAACATGGAGCAACAATTTTTGTGTCTAAGCCGGATTCTGGTTTGCAACGCAATTAATTCACTACTCATGTAGTCTAAATGAGATGTTCTCTTACTCTCCCAAATAAGGCGGATATTGTTATCTAATGCATCAAAACAGTTCCTGTAAACATGTTTTTCTCTCATCCCCTTAAGCAATGAAAGAAATAAATTGACTTCATCAATGATATTGTGCCCCCATTAAATTTTTGCAGCTACATTTCCAGAAACCAAAAAAGTTTCAAATTTTCTGTCAACAAAGTTTTCAGAGATTGCAAAAGCAAAGCGCCTTAGTAACATACGAATGCAAGAAAACCTTGACGAGACTAGAAATAAAGCAAAATTTCTACTCGATAAGTGAAGAACAGAAAGAACATGAGAGATTGAAAATAGATAAAGGCTCTCCTAACAAATGAAGCCAAAGTGTCAAGCTAATTGTTTCTGGATAAAAACAAAGAGTAAGTCTTTTTTAGTCGACAAAAAGAAGGGTACATAAAATCACAGCGTTTTTATGTACACATGCATTTCTGGCACTATACCAACAGCGATACAGTTTTGATGTTCCGAAGCGGACATATGCGAATCCCTGCATTGAAAGGGTCGGCTTCATTTCACGCTTTACAACGGCTATGAGATTTGCTGCAGGAATGCAGAAGTTTTTGACTGCAGTCCCTCCTACATTTCGCCCTCGCAGCGAAACAAAGTAGACAAGCCGCATACTTCATCAGACACGCTTGTTAAACAACTATCGATTCACGAACGGGAGGTCGGGGACCACTAAAAACCCCGGCTGTGGTAATGGATCGCATACTTGATCTGCACAGAATCATAGGAAGGGGCTTGCCAACCATGCTCTGCTCAAGTCATTTAGAAATATTAAGAGCGACTTCGATGCATGTATTACTGAAAAGGATTTGACCAACGCTCACCCATACATCAACATAATTTGCAGATTTTGCCCTCACCTGATCTCTTAGCTAGAAATCAAAAGATCGACCGTTACTATTAGCTTGAAAAGAGAAGACTGTCGCTTTTTTCGGCTTTTCAGCCAAAACTGGTATTTTCCAGGAATTGAAGCCTTTACAAGGCCGAAGTTTTATGGCTAAAGTTCCGAAGGTTTGTAGCATACAAGGTATATGGGAAGATTAGTGCAGTTGTAATTTTTGCTATTTTCGGCTTTCCATTTTTGTTTGTTTTCTGACCCGATATTTCGATCGAGTGGACATATAGATAGTGCATGTGTCTGTTACATGCGGGAGCAAGTGAAAGTTTCGTAGGATTTTTGGCAAAAATTCTAATATAGAGTTTATGAATTGCTCACATGTTTTGACTTGCAGCATAGCGTAAATCACGACTCACGGCAACGTTCAAGGGTCATCTGGTAGAGCTCACTTTGCTTAGTGATCTGTTTATACATTACGCCCTATATGCCCAAAAAAGAACAACAATGAGTAAAAAACAAACCAACTAGTCATGCAGAGAAAAAAAGCGTGATAAATAAGAAACAAAGACCAAAAAACGATTTACTAAATGAATAAATATTCATTTCTAGTAGTCAAAATTATTCTACAGTTTTCTGAGTGTCAGAAAGTGCAAGCAACGCTGCCCAAGCATACCACGTTTCTAAACGCTGCTCTGCAAAATTTGGTGTCCATTCAATTCGCAATAACGAAAAAACAAGAGTGACCTAATGTATGACCGTCGATGATTATGCACACGCTGCACTAAAACTATATGCTGTGGTCGCGATCAAGATGAATTATAAAAACTGGAGACTCGATTTTCGATACGCAATTACACAATTATCGACACATCTGCTTTACACTCATAGGACGATCACTTCCCTACCAAATGCCTCCACCCGCGCCTCGAATTTGTTCTGACGAAGAAAGCTATAAACAAACGCAAATATCGGAAGTCTCCCGCAAAATTAAATCTCTCATTCCCAATGAATTCTTCTCTAATATTGTGGTATAGTGACAGTGCATCAGATGCAAAATGGACAAAAATCAAAGCTTTAGGCTGTGAAGTACGCCGTTCACTTAAGAATATAAGTAAGTTCATAAGCGCTTTTCAGGCAATTAACTATGAAATTTCAAATCCTCCAGTTATATGTGTAACGCTTGACACAATGAGACTACTTCATAGCAATACAGCAATATAAGGCCTTTCCGTTGAGGCAGGTGTAGATAGTGTTACTTTCAAAATATTGCTAGAACCGCCTCATCGTAAATTTGAGTAGCATGAAAGTAAAGCTCAAAAAACAAAATACCTTACCGCAAACCTACATGGTATTCGTGGTAATATATCACATGTTTATAAAACACAGTTCTAATTATAGTGTCACACAAGTACCAATTACTTATGGTAATCCCACAGTAGAGATATATATCCTTGCCAAATCCAAAGTTTAGAATTTTACTTCGTAGTGAAAGGGAGTCTAAAATCACATCTTATTCCAACTCACTCTGTCGATCTCCTTTTTAAATTTGTCGAATGCAGCATTACTTTCGGCCAAACTTTTGGTGATCTCCTCGTATCGTCCAGCATAACGTTTCACCTACAAACAGAGTATGGAACGATTGTACAGACTTTCGAAGACGGCCCATCAATCATTTGTAGCGCAGGAACACGAGAAGGCGCTTTGTAAACGCTTGCACCCCATACAATCTATCACTGAGATATTAAGATAGAAGATGGATTTAAGCTCTACTGTAAACGTGCATTTTGTACTCTGCTTTCTAACTCATACACTGTCATCATAAATTGAGCATATTGTATGTAAACATTCAAAATCTGCAGGGATCAAAACACATTTGTAGATTCGAGATATCAATTAGCGCAAAAAAGTTGTTTGAAGACTGAAAAAAATAGTAAATAATGATATAGCGTGGTGTGGTCTGAGCACATCGATGAGTGGAAAGCTATCAACAAGCTCTTGGATAACAGCGAGCAGAATTCGAGAATTTAATTCTTCCTTTACACCGTCAACGCAAAAAAGTAGGGAAAGCAAAAAAGTAGGGAACCTAGCTTTCTTAGCGCCGTCAGCAGTTCATTCCACAAGAAGAAAACGAATGCAATGGATGTGAGGAATATTAGCAAGGAGATACATTCATGAAAAGCTACACAATAACGCCGTATGCTACCTTTTGTAGAAATGACTCTGCTCAATCTAAAGTGAAACAACGTTCCGTATCAGGAGCCACACTCGCGGAAATGGTTTCACAAAGTCGTTATTTTTCGAAAGCCCTCCGAAATTATGAAGCCCTGCACTCTCACAATCACTACGAATGCAGATAGGGAGCCTTCTCCGTTAAGCGCCGGGCATACTTCACGCGATTTCAGTCGCGACGCGATTTGGCAATATTCCAACTGTCCATAACTCATTGTAAGCACATTTCAAACGTACAGAAAGTAGGGCATTTCATCAATCAACTAATTTATATACACTACACTATGCTTGTGCAGTTTGCTAGTGTTGGATCTGAAGACTTCTGGCGAATTGCCAAGTCGCGTGAAGTATGCCCGGCCCTCTAGATACAGCTAGGATCATTAGATTCCCATTTCAGTTTGCAAATTCTTCTTGTCAATGAGTGTTTTCGCTTACACGAAGATGGTTCACTCCGTCCGCTAATGTAAAATCTAGCGACTTTTGTGAAAGGAAAACGCAACAGCCAGCTGAAAACCTACTAACTTCTGCTCGGAGCATCTTCTCATTTTCGATAGCACCTCCTATCCTCGCCGTACCTTCCACAAATGTTCTAGTCAGCTCTTCTTTTTCCAAAGCCACTTTCTACAACGTTACATCTTTATTGGCAGCGCCAACAGCAAACTATGAAGTACATACCTGGGCATTGATTTCTGCAGCCTCCAATTTTGTTTTCAACAGCTTGATTTCGATATCTTTGGCTTTATTATACTCTTGCCAGTAAGAGTCTTTCTGATTATACTAAACAAAAATCACTCAGCCGTTGCAAGATACTGATCGATCGAGGAAGAGTGATCCTACCTGTTCTTGAATAGCATTGATTCGCGACTCGTATTCCTCCCCAAGTTCTTTCAGTTTTTCAGCTAATCGTCCATTGTCAGCAGCCAACGCATCCGATCGTTCTCTGCCTTCGTTCATACTAGCTTCGATACTCTAAAATTCTTCAATTCAATGACTTTATAGGTTTGCGTAAAGATACCATAGGGGCGTAATCCTAAAAAAATGTTTTTAGAGTCATTGTCACCGCGGTAGCTCAAATCGGATTTTCTGTTATTCACGCTTCTGCGTATACTAACGAAACTGTGCTATGCACTGGTAGCAAGCCGAAATATGGCATGAAGCCGACCAGCAGTCATTTGAATCGGCAAACCGTCACCCCCCCCCCCCCCCACCTCAGTGAATTGGTACTTACAAGGGAATGGTCAGAAGTCGAAGTGGCCAATCCATACAAGCTGCATACCAATCGATGCAGCATAGAATGCTGATTTCAAATGTGTCTTCCGTATCTGCAGAGCGCCATTGTGGGCGAAGTTATGAGCAGCTTTACTGCGAAAAAATCGTCCACAAAAACTGCGAAGTTAGGCAGATCACTGCTCTTTTAGCTCACCTTTAGGTACGAGCCATATGAACTGACCTAGTTACACGTTTTGGTCCAACACTGAGCCGAGAATGGCTTTGTATGGCCAAGTTTGACCTTTACACGCACAATTTCTTAGCAAAATGATGACATTCAACGGCTTATAACTTCGCCTACAAAAGCGCTCTGCAGATAAAGAAGACAGATCTGAAATCAGCATTCTATGCTGCATCGAATGGTATGCAGCTTGCTTGAATCGGCCACTTCGATTTCTGACCATTCCCTTGTTAGTTCCATACGTGCCAATCAATCTATATTTTTGAATTGGAAAATACGAACTTCAATAGGTGTTGAACTTTTTCAAGCTATAGATAAGGGCGCTCAAACCAAGCTTCAATATTTCTGCAAAATACGATTTGAACATGACAAGAATGCAATGTTAGGGATACGAGAGAACTCTACCAAAAGAAATTTGATGTTGAGATTCTTTTGTATGCTATACTTGGGATGAACTGATTTCAAGACATTATAAACTGCTTCCTTTCTCTCTACACGATAGCATACGCCCAGGGATCGTAGTACGCTACGATCCATACTTATTAAAGTATCACTCACTTTCAAAGCTGTCCGTAGCTGTTCGACAGCCTGTTGTCTTTCATGTTCGAGCAAACGTACTTTATTTAAGCTGTCTTCGCGGATCTAAACATTAAATCAATACTGGGCACGTAATGACTGGAGGCAATATCTACCTGCTTGTTCATTTTCTGCAACTCGCGACACAGTTCTTCCAGCTTTCCCTTAGCATCTTCTGTTTTTAACAGAATCTGGTTCGCCTTTTCAAGCTTCTTCTCAAGCGCAGTATTTGCTTTCGTCAGCTTATCCACCTAAATGGACAATCTGTGCAAGTACTGGATACGCTGATCTACATATAAATAAGGCAAACTTCTCCATGGCGCAACCAGTATCAAAAACTGACCTGTGATGCTTTCTCCTTCAGCTTCGCGTTTTGATCCTCACTTTCGACAACTCGTTTCAATAATTTCGCAACCTTTTCTTCAACACTCAATCCTTCCAGAGACTTTTGTATCGTCTCCATAACTAAATCATCAGCATATCAAAGAAAAACGAAAAGATATCAAATCAACATAAATAGAAATCCATACTAGAACAGCTTTTCTGAGGCATACAACTGATGTCTCATTTTGTGGCTTGCTGCCAGGGCTCGGCACGAGGTGGCTTTCCAAAAATGGAAAAAAAAACGAGTCGCGCTTAACTTTCCCAAAATTTTACGAAGTCCCTTTGACCCAAAACCATAAACTCAAATCGACTAAAAGAAAAAACGTCGTACGCTTTTTGCCCAAAAATGATATTCAACTTGCTTATAAACCACGTGCGCGGAGCCCTGTTTGCTACATATGAAAAAAAGAATCCTAACTGATACACTGATATACAAAACATTTCGAAAAATCAGTGCTAGGCAACATCAACTAAAATATGATTCAAAAACAATTCGCATTACTTTCGACCACGTGATATATATCTGCTAAACTCGTAAACAAGCTCCATCTGCAGGAAGCTTTTTAATTAAACAAAAGTTCCCTCCCATCTTAGCGTATGCAGAACAGTCAATATATGTTGCTCCACGTTCGACTTTCGATGAATCTTGGCATATCGAATAATTTGCTTGAATAAATGATATATTAATCTTGGTGTTGGCTAAACCACTGCATTTAAAATCCTTCAAAAATTCTGACAATAACATCGCAGCGTTAACAAATCAAACTGCTACTAATACAATTTTTATGGAAAAAGGTTGCACCATTTCTGAAATGGGATTTCCGCAACCATTTCTTCAAAATCAAAATGCTTTGTATGTCAAATATGTGGGGAGGGGATTTAAACACGCAACCTATGCAAGTGCAAACTTCAGTCAAAACATTCTCCGACGAAATGTGAGCACGGAAAACAGCTGTTAATCTCTGCTTTATAGCAGTCTTCTCGAAGAAGTATACATATACAAAAAACCTTACGTACTGCCCTAAGCATCCGATAAGAATTTCCCATAGAAAGATGGTAAAATAGATATGTAGTTTTGTGAAAACCAATTAAGTTCGATTGTATGGAAATAATGATGTGCAGTGATAACCTCTGATGAGATGTGATGAAAAAATTGAAACCAGATGACAGGACGTAAGGTTTCAAACTTTTACAAAGGAAAGGTGAGAAATGAAGGTAGACAATAGTTTGCAACGAGAAACTGGCGGTTTCACAAGATTTGCCTGGCAGATTACACAAAGGCACCGAGTCGACGAAGTGACGTAATCCAGCAAATGTGAGCATTATACTCTTGTACTAGAAAAGCAGAAATCAGAAGATTTCTGGATTGCTCAGCGTCAGCTCAAATGAAAAGTTATTGGAGCAGAATTCTCCCACGGTGACTACTGAACTTAGAAATGACTCTTCTATCTGCTATACCGACGATTTATGACATTCTTCCACTTGCTTTCGACTGCAACTAATCAAATGAATACAAAAATACAATGGATGGCGACGACGACAAAGTTATCTAGATTATCAGCTACAACTCTGGTTTTTTTCTCAAGCCATGGCCAGATCCATACTGTCTCTTATTCAAACTGACTCAGAAAATGTTCGATATGGAGTTTTTGAGCTGTACTGAACTGCCAAATGGAACTTCTTGACTATTCAGTGATTTTTGCAACACCAAATATACTTTGGATGAATTAGTCAGTTGATCGGAACAAAAAAGCTATACTATCCAGAATGATAGTACTGAACTCAAAAAAGATCTGGCACACAAAAGGTCAACAATCTTCTACAAAGGTAGGGATTGACCCTATTTATCGCTTCCCAATATAGTCAATGCTTATTTTGTGCTTAAAGCTGTTTTGCTGGTAACGAGACTACCAAGTTTTGTTACTATTGGATTCTTCCACACTCTTTCACTATTACCAGTACATCGCAGTTACCTCTTTTAACGGTTATGTTACATTACACCGTAAGCGTTTCCGTTGATGAGGGATCATGTACGGAAAAGCAAGATCGAGTATGCAGCCTGCTGCAGCGGTAACGACGTTAACAGCCGTAACAGTGGTAAAGCATGACCCACCCTAAGCCATTATATCCGCCACCTGTTGCTGTGATGATTGTTCCAAGATTTGTGAAAGCTCATGAGCAAACCTTTCCGGATGACTGACACAAACTCCATCTGCAGCACAGTATCTCCAACTTGATCTTGAGATCTTCGATATGTGCGCGCGATATCTTGGTAGGTACTTTGAAAACGATTTACTTTTTGGGACAGACTTTCACAAAAACGATGGTGACCCGAACCTCAGCTGATTCACTGAGAATCAATACGATCTCGATCATCAATATTTACCCAAAAACTCTTCAACATGTATTGTTGAATCAGCGCAACTCTGGGCAAGGGTAACTAGGGTGCTTGATGATTCTCCCGCAATGACGTCTACTCAAGTTCTTAGATTTCGCATTCGCGATGTTTCGTTACTGCCAAGTCACAGTTTAGGCCTCTAAAGAAAAAAAAATGCAAAACGACTGCCTGTGCATCCTATATAAAAGCAGTAATTTCGAGATATACTGGCATTTTTTGTTGGATACTGAGTGAGCAGAGTCTATGCTTCACTAAATCCTGTGGCAAGTAAAAGCTAAACTAATACGTTAGCACATAAGTTTTGCAACTCATTTCGTTACTTTTCGCTTTTGATTTGATGCATACTTTTTTGGGGATATTGTAGGTCAAATTAAGCTACGAACCTGCGCAAATAGTTCAATTTTTGGTTTTTGGTAGCGAAATGGAGGAAATTTACTCTTTTTCGGAAGCTGCAAATCCGCAATCTCAAGGGTCGGAAAACCAACAATAAAGCCGTTCTCAGTTTGAATCAAACAAATCAAGCCCAAACGTACAGATGCTCAGAGTTTCCTCTATCAACAATCTGGGTATAGTTTCGGCTTGATATGTTTAATTCAGACCGAGAACGGCTTTATTTTTGGTTCCACGACCCTTAAACTTTTGGATTTGACCACTTCCGAAAAATGAGCAAATTTTCTTCAGTTCGAAACCAAGAATCAAACTCTTTGCGCGGTTTGTAGCCTACTATCTAGTCTACATTATGCCCGAAAATGAATGCGTCAACATCAAAAATAGGAAAGTTACAAAAGAAGTTGCAAAACTTATGTGCCAACCTAATAATAAGCAAAATCCTCCTTTCTGTCTACTTGATTTTATCATAGCCTCGTTTGCTTCTTTCTTCAGTTTAAAGCTTTTTTGAGTTTTACAAAAATGTATGCTTGACATTTCAAAGACGCTAAATTTCTGTATTAATCTACAGGGACGCGACCGGGCCAGCAGAAATTTCCTAGAGATTCTTTGAAATTCCCAGAAATTTCGATCTGTACAAATGTCAGTTTCAAGAAGGATCTTCCTTGATCTCTGTTCCACACGAACGGACGTAAATTCTTCTATTCAACGCAAAAAAAAAGAAGAAGAGCCACTACCAGTTCAAAGAGCACTATAGATTGGCAGGCAAAACCCTCCTTCATAAATGAGCAGATCCCTCCCCATCCCCATCCCTTCTACACGATTTCCACATCAATTACATTCTTCTTACTCAGTGAAGAAAGGAAAGGATTTTTTTCTGGAAGCGCCACATCTGAATCATAAAAGCACGAAGACCTTGAAAAGATCTAAAACAAAAGAGAATATAAATGACTACATAACTTTTCTTTTCAAAACCCTACGCAATATGAATGCCGCCGTTGTTTATATGTTCATCAGTACTTCGGCTCAAAACTCAATTCTTTTGTTTTGTTTACAAAATGAAACCCTGCCAAAAAGCTACTAAGATCAAGATAAGTGATTGTAATCGAATTTGTTTGGATCTGTGGTTTGAAAATGAATAAAAACTGTCCCATCCAAAGAGCATGACAAAACGAGAATTTGGAGCAACAACGATTATTACTGCTTTCAATTACTGAATCGGTAACTTGGGCGTCTCTACAGAAGCAATGTGTGACACCCATCTGAACATAAGACAAGACGGCAGTCAGCATATGAACGGAAAATTTGAAGATATCATGATGGCAGCATAGATGGATATTAGTGGCGGTCTCAAAATTGCCGTTCGGAAAGGGGTGGGGAACGTGACAGCCATATTTTTCAGCGCGTCCTGCATTCCTTAATTTCTTTTTGGGAGCGACTATTTTTATTTTGAAATAATCAAGACGATATTCGAATTTCTTTAAAAATCAAATCAGCAAAAAGAATTTCAAAAGGCAATTGTGGCCTTTTCTTCGGGAGGGGGAGGGGAGGGGAGCTGAGAATGGATAGGAGAAATGGGGGTAAATCCCAGGCTATAAAGCTCACTGTTTTGATGAAGCTTTGTGAAACTTGATGTAAAATTGCTCTAATCTACAGTATGATAAAAGCAAGTCGGGCATACTGTAAAAACCAATTTCAAATCTTCACTTCTATACCACCACCACATCAACCTCTTTCCATAAGCATTTACACAACAAATGATCGATTTGCTATTGCGTGACGCAGCTATGTACACTCAAACAGGAAGTAATGTAGGTACGTCAAATAAGATATGGAAGTAAACAATGAAAGGAACAAGCGAAGAGCTTCATAGGTCAAAGAGAAAAACGGGCTTAGGTAGCGATTTTTGATGAAACTTAGAAACGTATCGGAAGTTGTTTGCACAACTTAGGATGAGTAAGTTCTGAGATAATCAAAAAACCGACCAAAAAAATCATTAGATCAACTGTTTGGCACATATCCCGGAAAATAAGTTTCAATAGAGTAGATATTATTTGCATAAGAAGAGTTGGTATAATACAATTATTGCGGCGAGCACTTTATTGCGACCATTTACAATCTTCGGGACTTTACTTGCAGCTTGCAGAGAACGTTTTAAAACTATATTTACGGATTTCAGATTATTTTTTACTTCAGCAAAAAACGAGAGCGAAAAAGGTTAGGAGCTTCAAAAAAAATTTGATGCAAGACTTCCAGTCCAGTCTAATGTTATACTAACTAGAATTGTTTGAATGAAAACAATAGATATCAGAAATGCCGAATGGATCAAGAGTGAAAAAAGATAGAAGTTTCTGGCGACAAAGAAATTAATGCATAAGACATGCGTGACTGGTCTGTGCTTCATCAAAAAAAAAACAATTAGATACATGCGTTGTCTCTTTTTAGTCAGTTACTGAATTTCCAGCAATGATGATAACGAAGGCACAAAGTCAGTAAAGTTTGTGTATTGAGACCAAAAAAAATTATATCAAACAAGGCCACACACGAAGAGTGCAAGCAATGGTAAAAACAACTCTATGTGGCTGGCAAAATAAAAGATCAAAGAATTTGCATCTATGGCTGTATGTAGACAGAACATGAATCCGTCAGATAGCTATCCAAAACCAGTTCGTACTCACAATATTTTAGGAATACCGAAGATCATCACAAGCAGAATTTTGACCGCTGTCAAAACGCAGGACTAGGAGATACGGACAGACGCCTTTGGCACATTTTCAAAAGAGGCAACAAGAACCAAAACTGCAGAAGGGTATTGCTAACATTACGTTGCCAATCAAGAATACTCTAGCTCTTACCAAAGTAATGACGATACCCTAGATAACAGAGGAGCTTGTGCTTGCGGAACAGGAAAATTTCAGCCTATAACAGCGTCAGAAGCTTGATTTGAGGAAGTAAGGAAATGATGGTACGGAACAGTAGCCTGTACCAAGGGTTGGAAAAATAGCGAGCAAAGCAATCGATTCTCATAAAGTCACAATCTTCCTCGAAAAAAGAACCAGCCAATTATCGCTGGGTGTTTTCGCGCACAATAAATGACACTGCATGGAAAAGAGGAAGAACTGCAGAAGTACGATCTTCACATTAAAACACCTGATACGTGCGAGAAAAATATTTTCTAACACTTGCACTTGAGCAAAAAAAAAAACAAAGGAAACAAAAGAGCTGATACAGCATTGAGTATAGGGATGAAAATGGATGCATTGTCGGAAATATCAAAAAATCTATGTAAGGGATTACACAGCTTGACTAACCTGATTCCAACGTTGCAGTGGAACGCGGTGGTTTCATCCCAGATTTGCGACGATGTCAATCGCTCAGAAGTACACAACAACAAGCGGCTGACTGGCTGGTCACCTAGATGAGAGCGTGCATAAACGGGGAGGCAGAAGATAGTAGGCAAATAACGAGTGCACACTGATCAGAAGGAGTGCAGATCACAGCCAGCTGCAGATGTGTAACTGCGTAAAGACAGACTCGGAGATTCATCCCGTAAAAATCAATAAATCCACAAAAAGATTGGACAAGCATTTATTGACAATAAGTCAAAAAGGAAACAGAGATTCAAGGGAAAATCAAACGATTATGAGAGTATCTTGAGCAACCATGAATGCAAGCGAAATGGTAGTTACCCCAAAATCAAACACGCAGAAAACTCAAACAAGGCATTTACAATATTACGTCAAATCGATTTAGAGAGTTCCAAATAGCACAACGACATTTTTCCAGACAATCATGTCACAGAGTTCATCATTTACGAAAGGCTTTTGTCCTCAGTCAATCATCCCAATCCATATCTGAATAGTCAATTTTTCTTTGCTTCAAGCCGTCTCGTCGACGCATGGAACGATAACGGCGACGGATTTCAGACAATGGCGCGTCTGTATAGGGTGCTTTGTAATCATCATCATCGTAGTTGGTTGAGAGTTTTCTCTTTCTAGACATGCTTCGACTTCCATTTTGTCCAGCAGTACCAGATCTGCAAAAGGCTAAACTGTTGAAGTTGATGCGCAATAAAGCGGAGTGGCAAACAAGAGGGATAACTGGTGGGTGTCAATAACCTACGCATCTTTCACCCTCATCCTTACGTATCTGAAGACAGATTTAGATCATCTCTATCTGTTAAGCTTTCAATTAAACTGGGTAATTCATGTTTTCTTTGCTCAAAAATGAGGTGAGAAAACACTTTCAGGGACAGAAAAAAGTTTAAAAAGATGAAACATTGAATTTCAGCGTAACCAGATGGGAATACAGGAGCAAACCTAAGGAAAGGAAGCGAAAATTTGACAGGACTGCCCCGCCGTTCAAACACAACACCCTGTGTTGCTGAGAGGTGAACATCACTCGAGCAATCTGCAGAATATCTGATCGCAGCTGATTACAGGTAATAACAAAGCGTCATCCCAGTAGAGTACACTACTTCATGAGAAAATAGTGTGCTCCACTAGCGGTGAGGCAGTGAATCGCTATCACAACACTACTGATATTTTCCACACACACTTCAAAAAACCGACGATAGGTACGTCCTCCTCTACACCGACAAGTGTGGATCCGACGCGTTGTCCAAATATATAAACTGATAGGCCCTGGCCAGACTTCGCTCAAAAGCGCCCAAAAGCGCGCAAAAGCGCTCAAAAGCTCCCAAAAGCGCGCAAAAGCGCTCAAAAGCGCCCAAATTTCTCTGGTGTCTCTTCACTTTCTCGTGTGAGGAGAGATGAGAGAGAGTGAGGAGAGGTTAGAGAAGTTTGGGCGCTTTTGCGCGCTTTTGCGCGCTTTTGGGCGCTTTTGCGCGCTTTTGGGCGCTTTTGAGCGAAGTCTGGCCAGGGCCATAGTGACATTGACTTGCTTCGTTCGTCATATACAGAACAACTATTGAACTCTCCCATTTTATCGAGAAAAAACTCCCATCTACCCTGCATCTTGCCTTGAACCCATTATAAGTATAGGGCATACCAACCACCATCGGTCATGGGTACACCGGGGATCACGCATCGCGCGCGCGTCGCGAGTGAAAGAGATTGCACTCCGAGCGCGGAAGCTAATATATGTACATCACGCACACTCACGACTGCGATCAATTTCTTTTGCAGTTTCGGTTGTTTTTTCCTTTCTGATGCATCTGTTCTCCTCCAATGTACTTGCCTTGTCTATAAAGTTGATTTTAGTTCATGGGGCGACGTAGTTTTGAAGGTAAGCTTCAGAACAATAACATTGCATGCTGTTCTCTTCTCAAAATGACATTTTTAGTTTATGCTTATGTTTCAGGTGCGGAGATGCAAACGTATTCCCATCGCTTTCAAAAAAGCAGGGAGGAATCTTTATTTATATATTGAACTCAGTTGAGAAGACTCTGAAACATTACAGTCATATTTTTTTGATACAAAAACAACAATTCCTACCTGCTTTTTCGATGCGATAGAGAAAGTTTTCATCTCCGCACGCCTGAAACATAAGCATAAACTAAAAATGTCATTTTGAGAAGAGAACAGCATGCAATGTTATTGTTCTGAAGCTTACCTTCAAAACTACGTCGCCCCATGAACTAAAATCAACTTTATAGACAAGGCAAGTACATTGGAGGAGAACAGATGCATCAGAAAGGAAAAAACAACCGAAACTGCAAAAGAAATTGATCGCAGTCGTGAGTGTGCGTGATGTACATATATTAGCTTCCGCGCTCGGAGTGCAATCTCTTTCACTCGCGACGCGCGCGCGATGCGTAATCCCCGGTGTACCCACGACCGATGGTGGTTGGTATGCCCTATAGTTGCTCTACCTCGAAGCCACGAAGTGAGACAGTGGTAAATCCTCATCTGCATCAGAACCACGCTGATCTTTGCTGACAAGGACTGCGTTATGGCGTTTTCGCTTTCGCTTGTCTGTTGGTACTGGAAGAAGCATACAGCGGAACAGATATACTGAAGAACCTTTCCAAAATCGCTACCTGAATTCGAATCGCCCAGGGAAGTTCGTTTTGATCTGGTTCTTGGAGTGCATAAGTCTGCACTTGGAAGAAAAGCGAAATCGTCATCGTCGTACCGTTCAGGAACGTTAATCTGAGGCATAAAGTATATGAAAAATATGTTGAGTTAAAAGTGAAGTTCACTCGGAAACTACGCCTCACGAATATAGCCTACCTTCGATGATTTCGACCCGCTACAAGCATCAAACGATCCAAGATCCTTCTTCGATTTTTCCAAAACCACTTGCAGCTGAATATCAGCTAGTGCCAGATCATCATCAGTATTCCACAGCTCTGAAGCGATGCCGTTAATTACGTGGATATAATTTCTTGTGAAGCGAATTGAACGATAATAAGATACTAGCTGGCTTACCCGGCTTCGCCCGGCCCTGCCAAAACACTATGATAAAGCTCCCATTCCTATCCCTGTACAACCTTTCCCTGTCCCACTTCTACATTCCAATTTCCTAATCCCGTTGTGTTAGCAATCAGCATGCTCACTTGCCCCCTGTGCCAACTCCCAATCCTGTAGCTTGAACTTTGCAAAAAATCGACAAAATCGATAAAAGTAATGGATAATCCCAAAAATTAATACTGTATTCGTAATCAGCATGCTCGACTAACCCCTGTGCCAACACCCAGCCCCGTAGGTGAACTCTGCAAAAAAATCGATAAAAATCGATAAAATCGATATCGATCGATGACGAAGAGTAGCCTATGACACCCGCCGGGGCCCGAAGTATATGTGTGCCAAGTTTGGTCCAAATCGGTTCAGCAATCAAAATTTGGCGCTATTCCAGTATCCGGGCCCCAAAATTTTTTTCGCATGGATTTTGCCGGAACTCGGCCCACAGGGGTTATTCGGCCCCTGATGCTAAATATCACATTGGTTTTGTACCGTAACGTCTTTCTCGGGTTATGGTAGGTACACGGTAAGGGGTCAAAATCCCAGAATTCGCTGAAACTTGACCCAGGGAGGTTATTCGGCCCGCTGACGCCGAATATCACATTGGTTTTCTACCGTAGCCTCATTTTCTCGGGTTACGGTGTGTATACGGTAACGGGTGAAAAACATAGTTCTGCCTGAAACGGCTATACGGCGATTCGGACGATCGTGAAGCTTTGCACACACGACCACCGCCGCGCGCTACACACCCTGCTGCGGCTTTTGCCTAAGCAAAGCACAGGGGAAGGATAAATTTGTCGATTTATGATTTTGTCCCCTAATGTAAACCTACCGTCAAGGGAGACGTTTTCGTGCGGAGAAAGCGTAAAACTTCCGATCACCATGTCGAATAACCCCTCTGTGCGAAGTTACAGCGAATTTTGAGACTTTGACCCCGTACCGTATACCCACCGTAACCCGAGAGAATGACGCTACGGTACAAAACCAATGTGAGATTCGGCGTTAGCGGGCAGAATTATCCCCCTGGGTCAAGTTTCAGCGAATTCTGGAATTTGGATCCCTTACCGTGTACCTACCGTAACCCGAGAAAATGACGCTACGGTACAAAACCAATGTGATATTCAGCGTCAGCGGTCCGAATAACCCCCCTGGGGCAAGTTTCAGCAAACTCCATGTCAAAAAAATTTTGGGGCCCGGATACTGGAATAGCGCCCAAAATTTCTATTCCGCACATACGTACACACAGACAGACATACATACAGACAGACATGTAGCTTCATATATAAGATGAAAAATCATTTGTTTGTAACGGGAGGTTACGGTTTGAATTTCTTTTATTTTGAATGCGAAGGTTAGGGTTGTTTCATACTGCAGTCGCTGCAGCAACGGCAGTCAATCGATCGATACCTTTTGCCCGCCCCTCCCTATATGACTGCATTAGCTCAGGGCCCGGCACAGATCGTCTGGAAGCAGGCTGACTTCGTTTGTGGAGCAAAAAGCAAAGGAGATATCGTTTTTGACGAGTCGGGACCGAGCATCAAGAATAATAAGCGCCGTTTAGTCGAACACAAGCTTTTCGAACAGGTTAGCACACGATTGACACGAAAAGTGCGCGCGATTTGAAAGCAAGGCTAAATTAAACAAATTGCTTATTTACAGCGCACACAGAATCATATGACACCAAAATAGAACTATACGTATAGAAAATTATTTGCGGAAGGATTATGTAAAAAGATTTGAGAACTTATGTAAAGTAATATCTTTTCCAAAATTAGATCGTCTCTAGACGGCCACCAGACGATCTGAGATCGTCTGGAGCATATATTTTCGTCAGTTCACATAAGTTTCGGATCTTTTTAGCATGGACGGATTCCGGTCAAAAATCTATCCCTAAGCATGAAGACATTTTCATATCGTTGCCTTTCCTTTGTTTTTTTGCCTTAATTTCTCCATAAATCGCATTGTTAAATATCGCGCTCCAATGCCAAACTCTTGCGCATGCGTAGTATTCAGCTCTGATTTGGATTTCCACTCCTATCTCACATTTTTTCTTTCAGACTCGTTAATCTTTCTCGTTTTCATCTTCTCCTAAATAGGTAGGTCAAAGGGGACTTCGTAAGGCTTTCGAAAGTCAAGGGAGACTTCGTTTTCAGAAACCTTAGAAACCGACTCGTGCCGTGCCCTGCACTAGCTGCAGCATCGCAGTATCAAACAACCCTTAGACGACAAACCGGAGCAACGCGAAAACTTTCCGTACCATAGACCATAGAACGTTTAACCCACTAAACTAATCTATGACGAGAAGACTGGCAACAGAAGGCCATTTGTTCTTGATATTCAGTTCTCATGTCCACAGACTGATAGATCTTAAATGAATACCTCGACGAGGTCTTAACATCATTTTGGGAGTGTTCTCTGCCTCACTGGACTCCATGTCGGCGACAGGAGGCACGAATTCCTCGTCGTCTTCTCCAGCATGGCATGCGCTAAAAATCCTAACTGTACAATGGAGACAACAGAAATACAGAGTGTCCAAAAAGTATGTATACAATGTTTGTTAATCTCTCTTTTTGAAAAGTCTTTTGCCTGCCTTTAGTATATGCCATTGTAACGCTGGCTTCAACTTACAAGGGAAGGATACTAACTTAGATTTGCTTTTTAGGATAAGACTTATATATTTGGAATCAGCTTTGAACGCTGATTTCAAATATGCTGTTCCTAGCTGCTTAGCGTTATTCCGAAGCGATCTATGGGCTTGCTGTTGTGAGTATTTATCAAACTTCTGAATGTCGTAAGACGGTGCAGATTGGAATCTGCTCAAAAAAAATGCTAGGATGTTAAGCTAGCACAAGATTAATTCATTTCGATCTTGAAAGGGACATTATACGATTGCAAAACCACCTAGACGTCGGCACCGTAACATCAGTAGGTCGAGGAGCACGCAAACTTTGCATAGAAAAGAGACCATAACTCGCTTTAGAATAGCGCTAAGCAGCTAGGAACAGCATATTCGGGATCAGCGTCCCAAGCTGATTCTAAATATTTGTGTCACATCTCAAAAGGCGTATCTAAGTTAGTATCCTTCCCTTGTTAGATTTACAGCATAGAGCGAACTGCCAATCCCACCTTATTAGTGTAGGATTATGGTAGGAACTTTGAAGGGTGAGTTGTTGGGAGCCATGATTCACTCTAGAACAAGAATGAAAGACCTTAGAAACACTTATACTAGAATAGATAAAGTCGATGAATCCAAACGTGAGATTTGCACGCCCCCAAGTTCTTCTATAACTTACGCGAAAAAAAAACAAGACAGCCTTTTTCTATGCATCTTAATCGGTGACTAAAAAGCTGTTAAGACTTGTGAAAAGTAGAGCAGTCAGCATGCGTGAAAACCGTGGTACACAACTTTTTAGATTTTTTGATTCATTTTTGGAATGCAGTTGAATCACAATAACACAAAGGGCCGGAAGTTTCTATGCTAGTCCTACAGTAAGGGATCGTTCAGACCGCGCACAAAGGCGGACGAAGGCGCACAAAGGCGGACGAAGGCGGACGAAGGCGCGTGTTAGTGTGTGTGTGCGTGACGAGAGAAACGAGACGAGACGAGACGCGCCTTCATGCGCCTTCGTGCGGCTTCATCCGCCTTCTTCCGCCTTCGTGCGCGGGCGCCGAAACCCGCCCAAACCGCCCGAATACGTCCAAACGCCCAAACCCGCTTAAATACGTCCGAACCCGCTTGAACTGACAAAGCGCAGCAGATTGCATGCAAATTGGCATATTGGAGCACGCGTGCGATTGATCCTTCTAATATCAAAGTAGGTACAAAAGAAGATCGTAAGAGGTATGTAACGTCGAGCTATCTACGTGTGACTAAGATTATATGCACTACGCGCGCAGTATTCCACGCGTGCTCCAATATACCAATTTGTCGCATATCTGCTGCGCTTTGGCAGTTCCGGCGTTCAGGTGGGTTCGGGCGGATATGGATGTATTTGGGCGGGTTTGGGCGGATTCCGCGCGATCTGAATGATACCAAATGAAGAAGGTTCGCTGATTCTCTCTATGCTGTAGATCTAAGCTAAAGCCAGTTGTGCCACTATAGGGCAACTTTGACTCTGGGAGCAAACACAACACGTCGCTATGAACGCTTATTGTGACACTGAGGAAGCTTACAACAGAAGAGCCCCGTTGACCCCCGAACCCGCCCGCTTTACTGCGGGATGATTAATGTATAGGTCGGTTCGGCCACAATACGTAGCAAATGGCCGAACACGTGTATCGAAAAAGAACAGGACTTTTTCGTATTGGCAAGTATTGTAATTCCAAATATTGCCTTCTGCCGTCATGAGCACAATTTGTTCTTTTGTTCGTGAATTTTCGAGTTTTGGCGGCGTTTCCTCATTTTGTGGTACGTCGGTGGTGTGAATATTAGCTTGGTTAGGTCCCCACCGTGGCTCATTTGGCCTGTTGCGCAATGGATTGTTCGCAAATCTTGACTGTGCAGGCGTACGCCTGTTTTGATACTGATTGTTGTTAGCCGGGTTATACGGCCGATTGTTATTTCTAGTTCTGATACATAAACTAGTATCGTGTGCTTGGTTGCAGACTGAGCAGTTTGCCCAGGAGCACTGGAAGCTATTGTGATTGTCTGCTAGACATTTCCAGCAAAGTTTCTTTGCTAAAACCACTTTTCTTTTGGCGTATGCATCAGTTGCTTTGCATACCGTGCCTAAACGGTCTCTGCTGCAAAATATACATTGTCGTACTTCTTCTGGTATCTTCTTTATGAAATCCTGAGGTTTTGGTGGTTCTCTTCCACGGTTTCTCAGTCTGGAATCTACAAACATTTTTGTCGAGATTTCCTTATCGAATTCCTTCATTAAATTCTCTATCGTGACCGATCCTTTTTGCTGAACGGCTCTGAGAACACTTCTTACAATATTTTGTGGAAATTTTTCTATAATTTTTTCCGTCCACAGGGCATCGCTACTTTGCCGGATGTCTTGGCCGGCAGACACCATTTGATAGATGAGGACACGTATTTTGTCGTATCTATCCATGCAACTCTCCGCGGAGCCATTTGCAGGTAGCATATCCTCTAATTTTTGCACGATTCTTGTGCGATTTATCGGTTTATTACCGTATTTTCTCTTGAGTTTCTCAGTCATCCACGTATAATTCTGCAAGATTAGTTGTATTCCTTTCACAGTTAGCTCAGCCCTTCCTCTAAGGCTGTCTCTGAGAAAAAATATTTTTTTCTACTGTGGTCAAACTTTTGTTTTGATCCACTAAAGTGGTAAATACACCCCAAAATTCGGGAAATTCTTCCATAAAAGCGTGGTAGCTTCCTTCATTTGGTGGAGTTTTAAACTTTGACAGGCCATTTTGTTACCATCTGTCGACATTTTGCTATCATCAGAACTGTCCTCTGTAAGCCAGGCAGCTTCTGTTGGGTTAATCCTCATCAGTACTTTTACTCTGTGTAGGTCTTCCAGGATCCGATAATGTTTCGGTCTGGGATAGGCTGCTGGTTAAACCCAGCTTTCTCGCCATTTTTTCGGCGTAATTCTGCGCTTCCGATAGTCTTTTGGTCAATATGCACACCATTTCGGTGTCGTTGGCCATGTACTCGGTAAAATTTGTCTGGATTTCTACCTCTTCCAGTTCTTTATCCGCATCTAGTTTATTGATCTTACGTGCCTCTTCGTGACTTCGTAGCAGTTGGTTTATCAATAACTGCAGCGAATCCTTGCTGATTTTGAGGGCATTTATGGCACCCTTTACGCTGTTAATTATTTCGCGGCACGCTTCATAGTTTTCTTCGAATGAAGCGTTTAGTTGCAATTCCTTCGTATATATTGCGAATTTATCCACAAATCATTATCCATTGAAGGTATTGTATGCCGCGAGCAATGGTTTTTCATGATTAAAAATCGACATTGCACAAGGCGCTGTCGTAGTTCAATTCCACAAAGGGTAGAACTATTAATGCGCTGCTTACCGCAGGGCTAGATAGTGGCTCAGAAATTTGGCTGATGCACCAGAATTGTGCCATTATAGGGCAACTTTGACTCTGGGAGCAAACACAACACGTCGCTATGAACGTTTATTGTGAAATTGAGGAAGCTTACAACAGAAGAGCCCCGTTGACTTCCGAACCCGCCCGCTTTACTGCGGGATGATTAATGTATAGGTCGGTTCGGCCACAATACGTAGCAAATGGCCGAACACCAGTCCTATGAAATGGCACTTAAAAGTAGGCGAAAGAACTTTTGAGAGGAGAGATATTAACGTTCAAACAGTGTATACCTTTTGGGACATTCTGTACGTAACGATAAAAATATCGATACCCTACATAATGGCTTCGCGTAGCTTTTGCAGTCGCTGTCTTCTTCGTCGACTGAGGCTAGGAGTGTGCGATCCAGAAAGCGCACTGCAGGGACGACTGCTGCTGGATGATGAGTACATCGAAGTCGCTGACATAGGTCGCGATTCTGAGTCATTAGAGTGCTTGCACTGAAAATTGCTCTAAATTTTTATAGCCGAGTGTAGTCGATGCTAACCTCGCTGCTGTCGAACTCGAACACATCGCCGTGCTTGGCCGGGGAAGCAAAGGGTCTCGCGAATACGTTCTGGATGGGACCTTCTCTTTCCCGTAGTATGCGTAAACAAACGGGATCCTCATTGAGATAAAACAAGCTGTGGAAAAGTTTCACTGTTGCACGTAACGTCAGGTTTGGTGCTATCACCTACCTTGGTTCATTTTCTTTGCTGTCATCAGTCAATGCACGGTGAGGCTCCTGGAACGGACTGCTTATCGTCATTACGATACGAAAAACAGTTATAGGCAGGCTCTTGACAAGCAAGAAAGATTTACGGAAATGGTTCCTATATATATGTGTAACGGTTGATTGGCACATTTTTGTGATTCTTCTTATGTGTGCAAATTACTCGATACCGCTGGATTTCTGCATATTTTTGGCTGATGTGCCTTGTCATAAATAAACCTGCAGACTGCTGACCCTGAAAAGTATAGTTCATTCGTTGACCGCACGGACTGTATATCACTACGGAGCACGCGCCGCGAGGTAAAACGCTTGCCCCAGTTTGAAATCGCCATTGTACAAATGGTGCTCCTCGCACATTTTACCGCGCTGCGCGGGTCCGCCGCGTTTGAGCAGTCCGTGTGGTCAACGAACCAACGATAGGGCCGTCCACGCTGTGCTCGGAAAGCAACGCTGTTGCGTCCATCAAAAATAGTCTATGACTGAAAGAGGGGCAGAGAAATAAAGCAGCATGAGTGCAGGAGTAAAGAAGAGTGACGCGCAGTGCACAACTCCGCGCCCTCTGCGAATTATATCGGAAATTGCAACTCATTGAACCGATTATGTGTGCAACACGTCTATAGTCCAGTCATTTCATATGTTCATATGTGTCGCTGCACACAACGTCCATATTTGCTGACCTCAACCCGATTGTTTGGCCATGAAAGAGATGGAAGACTCGTTAACCCGCTCCAAAACCACCTGTCATACTTGATCCTCTTGATCCGCTTCGTGCAGAACGCGTGCAAAACGCGCGCACACAGCAGTCTGTCATTTGGCGCCGCGTAGGTAAAAAGGAATTTGTACAACGCTGTACGCGACGCCAAATGACAAATTAATGCGCGTTTTGCACGAAGCGGATCAAGCGGATCAAGAGAATCAAGTATGGCGGGTGCCAAAGACGCTAATTGTGGGGGGAGGGGGATCTCACAGGCCAAGTACAGAACCATTACTTGAAGCCAAACATCTGCGATGAGACAAGGTCCATTAATATGAAATGTGAAAAATGACCGGAATTTATGCACACGTATGTAACATAGCTAACTGAAGATGGTTTAAAAAAGAAGGGATCGTTCAAAATACTATAAAGAGCGTGATCTTTTAGGTCCGTATGCACGTACATCGCTGGGGAGGAGAGGATATTTGAGAGGGGATGCGTCATATCTCGCCAGTTCACCTATCTTTCTTCTTCTTTCTCTATCTTGCTTATAAAGTTTTTCATACCCTTATACCTACGCATAATGGATGCCAGGTTACTTCCATACAAGACTAGTTTTTTGCCATTTTGTGTGACACCAGGGGATCCTCAAGGGATCATCTCTCATTTTTAAGTGTACGCTGCCTTTAAGGAGGACACATTATATAGTCAAATCATTTCATATGATCATGTGTGTCACTGCGCACACTGTCCATCTTTAGAGTCCCCATCCTAGAATTGCAATCGCAAGAACGCAAGAGAGCGACGGTTGTTACTGCTTACATCATCTTGTGAAGATTGGTACCTAAAAAGGAGAAAAAGCATGAAAAAACTTTAGAAACACTTAGCAGAAGGGCTATCTGTCCCTATAATCCAGGATGAGGACGCCAAAGGTGGACAATATGTGGTGCAGTGACACACATGATCATATGAAATGATTCAACTGTAGAAGGCTGTTCTCTGTTACGCCTCAATATCATTCCTATGTATCCGCCTACCTGTGGGACACAGGCCCAAGAGACCTTGACGATTAGAGGAGCGACTAGCAGCCGCATCATCCACACAACGGAAGCGCTTGCTTTCTTTTGTGATTCTTTAAAAAAAAAACATTTATTTTCTTCAAGCGTCGCTTGCTTTCTATGAAAGATATAGGGTGTGCAATCAAGCGACAGGATTCTCGTGCGGAAGCGAAATTTGCAATGGGTCTTGGGTCATGGGGAGCGCTTTCCGCAGCCATTCGTAAGGCGCCTCATACTGATCCCAAAGTTCGGTCAGTTCGAGCACAACGCTTAGTTCGAGCACTATCCTGGAACTATTCCCGAACTCTCAGATCAGTATGAACACATAAGGCACGCGCCATACTTGATCCGCTTGTTCCGCTTCATCCACTTCCTTCTCCATTGGTCGGTTAACTGATTTGACCATTGATGAACTGAATGAAGCGGATCAAGTATGGCGCATGCCTAACTGTAGGTACGAGTTTGGACGGAGTAGTCGGGTACCAGCAAGTACAGCGTTGCGGCGGGCAGATTCAGGCGGATTCGAGCGTGGTCTAAAACCTGCTTGACGGAGGACCACGCTCCCCCTCGCCCCAGGGATGTTTTTGCATAGGGCTACAGTCCTCTACCCCCTTGAAGCCATAAAGTGAGACAGTGGTAACTCCTCATCTGATCCAAAACACGCTGACCTTTGCTGGCACGGTGCACTGATAGAGGACTATAAATATGTCGCCGAAAGGGGAAGTCCGCGGGGACAGCTGCAATAAAAGCTATCTTATACACGCCGCGAATGCGAAATGCCCTTTTACTTCTTCTTGTCAATCTCTCCACTGGCCCTCTCCCCCGTGTGCAAAATAAACCAGTTTGAGTTCTGAGACTGTAAGTTGCGTATTGCGACACAGGGCCAATATGCGCTAATCTGGCGGTCGAAACTGCATGCAGTAAAGGCCCAGCAAACAAATGATAGAAGTAAGATTTTACCTTGGTAACCAAAGCTTTGTGAATTTGCTCCAATTTGGCTTCGTGCTTGCTGACGTCGTCATCATCACTAAAGGCAAGTTGGCTCATTTCCAGTCCATTGACTGCTTCGCTCCTTCATGAGTATTATGTACTACGATATAGATGCATTTGGAGGTAGAAGAAGAGAGCAATGTTTGCGCACAATAATTCAAGGTTCAGTGGAGGATTGCCTACAGAAGCCACTATTGAAGGCACATGTAAAAAACGATTGAAATTCAGTTTCTGAGAATGGCATGGAGAATTGACATTGATATTCAGGTGGATGCAATTGGTGATCGAGAGCTAACTGAATGGCCACAACGTATAACAACAACAATAACAAGCCATTGTTATGACGAAAACGCTGCTATAAAAAAGCCACATTAAACAGAAGCCTCACCATGGAAGCATAAGCACCAATTAAGTCATCAATATTGAACTTGCAGTAGCTGAATATGAATAACGAACGTGGTTACTGTGGTTACTGCTTTGGAAGGGCCAATGGTTTTCCCTAGCCAAACTAATATAATTCAGCATCACACTTCATTCTTAGAAAAAAGGTTTGCAAGCAATGACGAGATTAGATTTTCGTGGGGTGGACGCGAGTGCAATGCAGAAAACCTCGTCGAATAGCGCGCTTCATAAAAGATTTGCGCTCCGATTCAAAGCATCGATTGCTGCCATGAACGCCTCGTTTCCGACGAATTCGAAACGCACAAGCGTACCCTGATCGGCGACGCGGCAGCGACGCACAGTTTTCTCCGCCGAGCGCGACAGCGAGTACGAACTTGGTTTTTTTACGTTTTCTGAAGCTTCAGACGCCGATTTTTGTAGGCTTGTCTGTTTCGCATTCGTCCCGACTTTCAAGCGTACGATTATTGGAGCATGTATGAAAGGCAGAACTGGAACGCTTGGTTTTTTTGTGACTTCTTTGCATGCACTATGCATTTAGCGCACCGGTCATGTTCCACAATAAAGTGGAATATCAGTAGAGTCGAATAGATGTATGACAAGAGTGGAAAGAAAAGTAAAACCGCCTAGAGGACTCATACGTGCTGATTGTTCATCGATAAAGTATTCTTTTCAGCCTTGATTTATAGATTCAGTTGTTAACATTATCAAGAAGCGAAAAGGAAATCTATCGATAGCGTTATTAATGAAGTTACGGCTTCTTTGCAAACTTATTGCCAATTCTGGTTTCACCTGTTTATAAGTGTAGAAAGCAGAAAAGTTCGAATTGGTTTTGGGTGTAGTTTTCACCAAAAGCTGGAACTCGTTAGAAACCAATTGTGGTCCTACACTACTACAAATATTGTGGAAAATATGTACTTTGAGGCTTGGAACTACAGTAAGGATCTATATGACGAAGTCAGATCAGCTACTGAGGTGTAAAGTTCCTGAATTGCCGCTCATTATTCGTGAAAAAAGAATCGCGACGGCTGTGCTTAGACGGCCTCCGCCGAAGTTCACCGAATTCTTCGCATCAGGTCTAAGTTCAGAGTGGACTAGTTCTGAAGATTACCATTCAGCTACTTCGACATGGCACGCCTTTGTATAACATAACTGCTTTAGCTTGGGGTACAGTAGATAACGTGGAAGATAGTTTTCAAACTTCATTTCCAGTTTTTGCTTACATAGGCTGCTTGACGATTACAAATTATTTGGTGCTAGAGGACATTGCGAGACGCGGCAGGGGTGGATTTGCAAAGAAGTAAACCACCATAAATATTTCGCCTTTCTCTTTTCAGCAATTATGTTCTCGATTTGGTTGCTCCTCAAAGTCACGAGGCTCAACCTGACGTTTTCATCATGTACAACTTTAACTGATTCCCATTCTTATTACGATCCCAAACATAATATGCTGACCGGCAGATAGAGCAAGCACTTCGCAATTCAGTGTCTTTTTTCAGTCTACGCGGCCTTTTGAAATTGATAAAGGTAACATTTGTCGTGACCAAGTGCGTTAGTGGGAGGTTGAGCCTCAGATGTAACGATGCTTCTCCACTGGGTAATATTTCGGAAAAATTTCAGAGTGTGGAGAAAGCTTCTTGGAGATTCGCGGACGAAGTCACAAAACCATCTATGTGCGCATGGCTGTACCCGAAAATCTTAGACATCAACATTACGAGACTGTGATTGCTCCACTTTGTGAAAATAGTGCTTTTTGATCGAGTTCGGAAAGCCTTGTCGAAAGCGAATTCGGAACACACAAGCGTACAAAGATCGGCGTCTGAAACTTCAAAAAACGTAAAAAAACCAAGTTCGTGCTCGCTGTCGCGCTCGGCGGGGAAAACTGCGCGCCGCTGCCGCGTCGCCGATCAGGGTACGCTTGTGCGTTTCGAATTCGTCCTCGTTTCCCACGTCGACGTTCGTTGGCTTGGTGATTTCCCCATTTCTCCAAACAGAGTCGCTCTCTTACTCTTTCAAATTTTTATCTGAAATGCCTGCGAGTATCATCCAGTTTAAGACTGGAATTGTACGCTTCACATACGCGTCAAAATATCTTGATTGTATGACTTACAAGTTTCATCTAGTTGAAACCTGGAAAGAATAAGTTCAAGCTTGTTTAAACAAATTCTGTCAAGCGTTTCGAGTCCTCCATCCCAGAGTAGATTTTAAGTGCCAAAGTATAAGTTTCAGACGCTGGCACTTTTCTGTCAAGCTTCGTAAACCTCTGCACCTCTTTTCGGCTGTCCTGCCCCACAACTCAAACAGTTTGAATCTCCCTCAAACTTCTCTCTATGGGTTTCTGATGCAGATCACGGATATCGGCTCTTTTGGCACAAAAAGTCATTTAATGTTTCTGTGAGTATCATCGGCTCCACGATTCGTGTAGAGGTGGAGTTTTGCCAACTCAAAGCGTGGCGGTTTTTGATAGCGAGAGAGTACAAAAAACAATGCTATGACGAGGAGGTTTAGCAAGTTTACTTGTGTTATCAGGCAAAGTCTGCAATACACCTCTACACGTGGAGACGATCATACACTTTAGGGCGAGAAAAACATAGATGTGGCTGAAATCTGCCCGTAGTGGATAATTGAAATGCTGACACGAATATCATGAGGGTTTCGCGGCAGGCCATTTTTTGGGATTACGGTGGGCGTACGGTGGATGGGTTATAAACCGAATTTGCCATCTGCCTAGGAAACGAGCGTCTGCAGCGTGTTGGAGTATTATAATCGCAATTAGCATTCTAGAGAACCATTCGAATGCAGTTTTGAGTAAATGCGGAAGTTCCGTTTATACCCGTAAACCCGTCATTCTTTGTAATATGGACCTCCCATATGAGCAGTGCCAAGTAATTTCTTCAGACCATATCTCAACCAAATTCATATGAACCCCACCACCATCCACCGTATCCACCTGTGATGACATTTTCAGGCAAATATAATACAATTTTGGTTCATAAGCTGGTCAGAAAAGCTCTATAGATAAAATTTGAGCGCGGTACTGCTTAGCTTTCGAATTTTGGAATCTGTGGATAGCGCCTCTTATCCTGCAAAAAATATCGGAAAAGATTGAAGCAATTTGGAAAGAAGACTTCAAAGCTCAGCTCTCATTAGTAGTATATCCGCGTTTACATTTATGAATTTTCTGGCAGAAATTACGATCTTTTTTTTTGCCGCACATTATGAACGTATGTATTGTATCTACGCGCGGTCAACTCCCAATTTGATAAGAGGCCAACTCGATACAGTCTGCTAGACGTGTTGTTTGCCTCTCTCAGTGAGCTCACTCTCATTCGCAGATGTCCAGAGGCGGTCGAACGGAAAACGGTGGTGGTGCTAGAATGAAACGCGAGGGCAGAAGCAGATCACGCAGTCCACGCAAGGGAGACCAAAAAAGATTTGCAGGTGCGTTACTCATGAATAGGAATGAATGACTGTCTGTGAACTACGTCTTTCCAACCTCATCTGGTTTTGCTGTGTGATTTTCAGCTGGATTTCTTATCAGGTGATCATAGAAAACACTTTCTGAAGTCGCAGTTGTCCAGAAAGGATTTCTTCATTCAGAGGGATGGTGAAAGAGCAGTTTGTCGGACATGCAATTATCTTCCATCGAAGCCTATTACTTGATGAAGCGCACGCTTTACGTGCTTGCTTCTGTATCAACTCTTTCCATTGGAAAGAAGGATATATATGGAGCTATATCGCAATCACTCAATGTTGCGACGGTTTCGGATAGCCCAAATATGTCTCTTGAAGCCTAACGGCAATTTCTCGCTGCTCTGATGACCTTCTTCGCCGGTCTTCGAATAAGATGCCGATCGTACAAGCGTCCCCAGTGGTTACATGTATTTTGCGAAGACAGTCTCATTAGCATATCATATCTCACTGATACTAGAACAAATGATGATAAGGAGGTTCTGTCCTGTAATTACGGTAGCTTTGAACTAGCTTTAGGAGGCCGTGATGGTGACAGACGAAGTGGAAACGATCGCATGGTATTTATCACTAATCTCGCTTATGAAGTTCGTTGGGCGGAGCTGAAGGACGTCCTTCGTGAACATGGAGGAGAGGTTCGATCTATTTTCGTGTTCATGCGGACCTTGGAATCTCCAGAGCGTATCCTCTTGTTTGGATGCGAATGTAATAGTCAGTGCTTAACAGTCAATGACAATCTTTGCAACTCTCATCGTCTTGGCCAGTCTTCTGCCAGCGCTAAAGTGTTCTCGATTCTGATCGTTTTTTTGTGAGTCATAGCTTGATTTTCTCTCGTCTTCTAAGTTGCTTAAGCACTCTCGGTAAATCAAATGTTTACGCTCTGTCGTTCTTTGGAATTTCCACTGAAGAGCTGCTTGCGGCGCTTCAGTTCAACTCAGTTGAAAAGAAGTTCAGGTTGTTTTTGTCGAGTTGCTGGAAGATCGTAATGGACAACCCAAGGGAAATGCAATTGCCGAATTCAAGACGAGGGAAGGTGCTGCAAACTGCCTCAAAAATCTGGATGGCTTCGAAATTCGCAAAAGAAAAATGATCACAAAGGCCATTCGCGTATGTTCTTCTAGTATTGTAACCATCGAAATATTTTTCCGGAATTGTCAAGGACGAGTTACTACACTTGTAGCTTGTCTTTTGGTAGATTGGTAGAGCCGCACAGTACAATTTAGTTGTTTGGATGTACGGCGATGTGCAGTATATAGCGATGAGTTGCCATTCTTATTGAGAGCTAACACCAGCTGAAAGCTACAGAAGTCTCTATGCAACATTACATCTTATTTAGCATAATTAATCGTCCTCCGCTGGTTAATATCGGGTAACAAACGTAAAAGTGGTCGAATTTTCCTTAGTGTGAGGGAGAGAGAATGATTGATGGGGATCGCAATTCGTCTATCATTCACGCAAAGGTATGCCACAAAATTCATGCGAAAAAAAAACAGCAACAATAAACATAAAACATGTCATATGCTCTCTTTTCTCGAAATCGGTATCCTAAACACATATTTGCTATCGATTCAAGTTCGTCTTTCGCTGGGGACATCAAGCTGTTTTCCTTCTTTGCAGGGCGAGATTCCCTTGTTGAGGTTCTGATGCCAAACTAAATTCAATTAAGACGAAATCTACCTGGGCTTGGGTTATATGGTCATCTTCTATCACCTAGTAAGTGAGGAGAGTCTTTGCTCCTCTTTTTCCATTCCCCTGTTCTCCATAGTGAGGTGCTGAATGGCACGGTTTAATGTTCGCTTGAGCTGGCGGTCATCGAATTTTGGCATTTCCTAATATTGGGCTATATTTCTGCAACTGTGTCTCTGAAACCCTGTTCTAGGACCCAGTCGCTTTCCTGCGTAAGGTCCAAGAAGAAACAGGCATTGACTACTTGGCCAAATGCGGGGGTAACGCGCTTGTTCACCGACGCAATGAAGACCGTCCTGCTCGAACAGGAAGCTATGACCTCTTTGGACTGAGTCCGGAGTTTCTTCGTCAACATAACATTGAACCACCTCTGTGTGATCGCGTCTTCATCGCCAATGTGAGTTGTTTGATTCCCATGTGAACTGAAAAACAATCTGCACTTGAAGCTATCTTTCAATGTCGGCACTGGACGTATCTATGAGATCTTCGGGCTTGCTGGCAATATTGTTTGGATGGATCTTCATATGGATAAGGAGGGTAAAAGCAAGGTCAGTTTGTTTGAGTCAAGTTTTGTTTCTCACCCTTTTTTTTTAGGGAGTTTGTATTCTGCAGTTTTCGCATCCCATTGAAGCTGTGCAAGCGATATCTATGTTCCATGGACAGAAACTGTATGATCGTAATCTCGTGGTGAAAATGGATAGATATGAAAAGGCAATTTGAACCTCATTCTTTCATCAATCTTCTTATTCAGCTTTCTTGTTACAGAATGAACCCGCCCGCGAAGGAGGCCTTCCCCGAGGTCTTGAGAGCATTGGGGCTGGTTTAGGGGCTAATGGAGCGCCACTGACAGATATTGCTTCTGTGGTTGCCAGCATGCGCGGCGAATCCTTGAACACTCCTGCTCCTGTAGCACCACTGACTCAGTCCAGTCAAGTTAGTCTTTTGCATAAGAAGAAATATTTGTAAGTTCAGTTTATCTTCTATAGATTTCCTTCGGTTTGGGTGCTGGAGCTCTGTCATCTGCGCCAGCGTTTGGATCCAATCCGTACTCTGCCACGCCGCACATCTCAAACGGTCAAAACTTCTCGTCTCTAGGTAACTTTGGAGTAAAAGGAAGTTCTGCAGCAAACTCACTCACTTTGTTATAATGTATGTTTCAGGTACTGGGCTAAACACAATTTCATCAAGTTTTAGTGGGTTCGATCCTAGAAGAGGTTAGTCTTGATTACATATAGACAAAATCATATCTGTTGTTTTTCAGAGGAAACATTTGCGGGTAGTGATTCGAGGAGGGGTAAGCTTATCTTTCGCAAACTCTCGATGTTAGATTCTATCTCAGTTTCAGATGATTCTCAATATGGCCTCGGCCTCAATGTCAGCAGAGTAGTGGCCATCAAGAATGTTAGTTCTAAGTTGAAATTTTTTTACTGCTATTAGATCACACTTTTTAGAGTCCTAAGTCACTTTTATTTTTTAATATCCAGCAACCACTATTTAACAAGATAGTTACATTGTATACATTTCAGTTACCGCTGGATTATACTTGGCAGATAGTTCGTGACCGAGTGCAGCAGTTTGGCGAGACAGAGTCAGTTGATATGATAGCACCTGGTGTTGCACGTGTTCGCTTTGCTCTCATTCAGGTTAGTTTTTTTTTTGCTGATTGTGGATACGGTTCACAAATCGATTGCAGGATGCTGAGCGTATGCGTGGAGCACTCACTGGAACGAGTGTTGAAGGTCGCACCATCTCTGTGGAGTATATTCACTGAGATTGACAAAAGATTGTTGAACACCTTTCACAAATAGTTTGCGCATAGTGTTATCAGCATCTTCAAAATTATTTTAATAATGCAGTGCTGATTTATGCGACGCATCTTACAAAGATAATTTGATTTAATGTTGTGTGGCGCATGTTATTGTTCCACAGCAAATTTGTTGAGTCTCTGTTGCGTTATGTACTCAGCAATTTTCTGTTTGTCTTATCAGTTTTGGGGAGTTCTTGAACATCTCTTGCAAAGAAAGGTATTCGCAGGTATCCATATATCATCGGTCTTGTTTGTGGTCTCAACCTATACAAAATAAATATTGTTTCTCAGATTTTGTGTCGACCATTGTGGTCCCAGCACTCAGTCAGATCGAGAGTGGCAGTAAAAATTAATCCAAGACGAAGGCGGCCGCCCATGCGCGCGAGGCGTACGCGGGAGTCGAACTCCAATGATAAGAGATGCTCGAACACGCGGCTCGCAGCCGCGTCGCACGAACTGACTGCCTTCGTCATGGAAGAACTTCTACAGTTATGCTAAATCTGATAGGTAGAGAGCTCATAATTATGGTGAAAGGTGTTTATCAAACAATAAAAAAACTAACGATAAGAGCATTTTACCATTATCCGTACATTATGCATGAGACTAATGGAAGATCAGGGAGGGGAGAACTCTACCTAACAAAAAAAATGGTCAGAAATCGAAGTGGCCAATTCAAGCAAGCTGCATATTATTAGATGCAGCATAAAACGCTAACTTTAAATCTGTCTTTGTATGTAGAACGCTGTTGTGGACGAAATTATAAGCCGCTAAAGGCCATTTGTTTTGCTGAGAAATCGTGCGTGAAAGGGCAAACTTGGCCGCAGAGCCATTCGCGGCTCAGTGCTGGACCAAAACATGCAACTAGGTCACTCAATATGGCCCATACCTTGAGGTAAAATAAAAGGCAATAATGTGCCTAATTTCGCAATTTTCGTGCACCATTTTTCGCAGTAAAGCTGCTCGTAACTTCGCCTAAAAAAGGAGTTATGCAGATATGGAGGACGGTTTGAAAACATCGTTTTATGCTGTATCAAATGGTATGCAGCTTGTCTGAACTGGCCGCTTCGAATTCTGACCACTCCCTTGTAAGTCATTGCTTGGCAGTACCTAATGTCGCATTGCATTCTCCAGCGACAGAATGATCACGAAAAACAGTGAATAGGATACCAATTGAGGAACAAATCAAGCTCTACAAGATAGTCCAAAAATCCCCGCGGAAACTTTGTTTCAACTGGAGTTTGAAACCAAAATAAAATCAGTTTTATATAGCCGAAAAATCGTACCTTAGTCCAAAAGTGTCTTAAAAATTCTCCAGCTTGCACAAGCATGTACTCCCTACATTGAACACTCGCGTGTACAGTTTGTAGAATTCTTCCATGGCTACAACACGAATAACAAAATTAGGTCAGTGCAAACCCGCTTTTTTAGGTCTTTTTTTGTGGAAAATGATTTCTTTCGGAAACTATACCTTAGAAAAGAAACTTTATGGTTATACTTTCAAATCATACTACAGAATTACCTTGAGAGAAGCTCACGATCATGGCAAAAAAATTCCAAAATTCGTTGTCTCGATTTCTAGCTATGGGGAACCACGAAAATGTGCCTAAAGGCCGCATGCATTAACATCCCGCTGGGGAGGGGACCGCAGCTCAACAGAAAAGCTTTGTATCCTGAAGCTCCAGATATCTGGATTTCACGTTGTCTACCTATCCGTAAGTCTTCCTACTATTCTTCACCATGAACATATTGAACAGGGCAAGAAGCTGTGCAAGCGCATTTTTCAGCTTTTTGTATGAATTCCTGATGATCTCCGGGGACGATCGTTCATTCTTTAAAACCATTTCTCTTTCTTCAGAGTTAATGAAAACATTCCAAAGTTGTATTGTTATCTAATCCAACGGTGCTAAGCATATTGCTGATGAGAACAAATGAGTTTCTGAAATATCGGAATTCCGACAAACTCCAACTTTCGACCTGTGGTTTATCGAAAATTTCATGACTCCACAACATCATTTGTTCTTATCAGCAACATGCTTAGCAGTGTTGGGTCAGAAATACAACTTTGGAAGGTTTACACTGACTTTGAAGAAAGAAAAGTGACTTCAAAGAGTAGAAGGTCGTCTCCCGGGGATCACCAGGGGATCATACAAGAAGCTGGAATGCGGCTTGTACAGCTTGCTTCTCTTCTATATGTCCATAGTAGAGGATGCTGGGAATACTTACGATAGGTAGACAGTGTTAAATCCAGATACCTGGAACTTAGAGATATAAAGCTTTCTTTCAAGCTGCCCCTCCTCAGCGGGGATGTTAATGCATGCGGCCTTAAAGGCAGCGTCCAGGCAGATCTAAACCTATGGGGCTTTTACGTGGAAAGTACTTTTGGGGCCCTAACTAAGGCACTGCCCAAGCGGCGGCTCAGGTAGTGCTTTAATGGCTGAGATATTTCCCTCGAAACTGGCCCCCGCGAACGTATTCGCATGGATTCATGGCAGTTTCGCGCCAGGATCCACGCTTTGCGCCATGAATCCATGCGAAACACGGTCGCGGGGTCCAGTTTCGAGGGGAATATCTCAGCCATTACAGCACTACCTGAGCTGCCGCTTGGGCAGTGCCTTAGTTAGGGCCCCAAAAGTACTTTCCACGTAGAAGCCCCATAGGTCCAGATCTGCCTGGACGCTGCCTTCAAGAGTGTCTGTTTGTAGAGGGTGTGCGCATGAGAAAGCTGGGGTTTGATAGGATAATTTTGAACTGAGATACGATTTTTTTTCAATTTTTCAGGCTTCTAGTGCCTGTAGAAATTCGGCTCCAAACGCAAATCAACTTGGCGCTGATGTTTGAGCTTCATTTTGTAGACCCTACACTTTGGTTTATCGGTTGATATCCCATTTACTTTTTTCATGCTCACCCTGCCGCGATATCGCATGATAAAACAGCATGCGACATTATTTTCCGGACAATCTAATATATGGACTTCTAGGATTCTGGAAAAAAAAAGTTCACACCTTTAGAAAGTCATCGTCGGTAATTTCAACACGAAGATCGGGATCAAAACGTCGCCTGCGAACTTCTCAATGATATCCGTGAACTACACTGGAACGAACAAGGGGAAGAAATGTTCGCTCTATCACGATGGCGAGGATCACTCATCAGGAAACTCGCAGTTTGAGCAACCCCCGACGCTGGACCAGGAATTAGCCCGGTGAAGCCTGCCATAACGAGATTGACCACATCATCGTGACGAAAGGTATTGTCTGACGCCGCTAAATGTTCCGAAGTTTTACACGGGATCAGACCATTGCCTGCCTGACAAGTTCTACGTTCCACTTACCACTGCTCCCAACAAGTGGATTGTTTCTTTCTGTAACCGGCTTTTGGAGAGATGTGAGCGACCACATTGACGAAGAGTACGAATACAACGTCTCTACGATAACGCGAGGGTAGTCGATGATGCAAGAAGAAATACGAGAAAACGTCTCGTATCGTTGATTCTGGAGCTGATACGCCAACGTGGACGAGCACGAGCTACAAGCAACCACCTACTGACGTTCGATTTTGCATGCAGAGAAGCACTAAAAGATCTCATGAGTAAAAGTATAAATTAAGTGAATTAAGCATCTCTACGACTGCGTGGAGGAAGCTGAGAGTCCAATAAGAGAAGTACGAGAGAACGTCTCGCGCTGGAAACTGTGAAGCAGATACGCAAGTGGGCAAGCACGAGCTACAGGCAATCACCGACTGACGAGGCGAGCTTGCATGCAGAGAAGTGATGAAAGACGACCTCATGGAGAGAAATTTAGCAGTGGCGATTGACGCCGCGAAATCTGGAGGAATATGCAACCGGCCAAACGCCAACGGGTTTCAACTTCGAGGCCAAAATGACGCACTTAGCCTCCCTAACTGGAGCAAAACTTTCCTGAAGGTCAGTGGGGAAGGTCACCCAAGACTTCTAGTCGGACTTATTGACAGCCACCCGGATTAGGTCGTACTATCGGTCATTAAGATTCGTTAAATTGATAAGATGATACCCATGTACAACTCCGTAAATGAAGGCATGTTCAAGATAACTCTTTGAGCCATCCTACTATAATAACGAGCTAAGGCCGTCTGTTTTTTTGTGTGTGTGTCTGTGTGAAAATCTGTCTGTCACGAAATTCACAGAGGAAGCTGCAACTAAGCTATGGGGCTGCAATTTTGCATAACATACCGTGCCAGCGTGTAGACCCACCATGCACAAGGATGAGCCGGTTCGATAAACGGCTCCACGCGCATTTTGGCACGCAAAACTGGGTCGCTAATTCGACTTTTTGCAAAGTTATGATTTGCATAAGGAGTAACTCTACGCGCCATGAATTCTAGCCCGAAAAGTGCTCAAAAAGTTTGCTTTTTTGCGAAAACAGCGCCAAAAAGCAATGAACGCGTAGATAGTCGATTTGGCAAGGTTTTATTTGAAAAAACTGAAAAGATTTTCGCACTGAAATGTAGCCCAAGGTGACTATTATCCTTATAACGATTACCAAACCAAATAAAGTCAGTAATCCGTTCAAATTCGCATTTGTTTCCTTGCAACAAAGTTTTTTTTTCTCAAAATCACCGATCTTACATGGGAGATGCTTCATGAATGAACAGTGTTTACGATTCATTTGTGATGCTCAGCATCGCGTGGTGAGTTTCAAAGCCATTCTCATGCGAACATGAGAAAGGCATACGGATAAGGAGCCAGTGCGAACCTCCGCAAAGCGGAGGTTCGCACTGGTATCATTATATCGAGAAGAACTAGACAGCACTGCTCCCAACAAGATCAAACCTGAATATCCGAAAAATCTTTCGCCAATACTCATCAAGACGTTGACAAGGCTCTTTAGGCGGTATCTGATAGAAGGCGAGGTTTCAAGCCATTAGAAGGCAGCGAGAACGTGTTGTTGTACACAAAGGGAGATCACAACATTACGGCAAGTTTTGGCCTATCTTCTGCCTGTTATCGGCACTACAAATTCTTGAGCGAGTCTTTGAACAAGATTGGAAAAAAGGTAGATGGACAACCATGTGAGCAGGCAGTTTTTCGAATAGGATTCAATAAGATAGATTACATGGAAACGATGGTGTTCATCAAGATATTACGGGAGCAAAAGCTGATCTGCAACCGTCATACGGACGTGGCAGTCAGACCTTTGTCATTAGCTGAACGAGAAGAACGAGAAACTCTGCCCCTCCAGATAAAAAAACAGCTTAGAAAATTCCGGGAGGTTTGTATCAAAGGGTAATGGTTTATAAACCTTTGCTAGATCTGATGG